CCATCAAGAGGTATAGGTTTAGAGGGCAACATAACTAAACAGTCCTGGTCAAGATGTGTCCTCACCCACCTTTGGCTCTAGTCTGTCCTGCAAGGTGGTCTAACAATCAGGGGGATCAAGAGTCCAAGGTTAGCAGAGCAGGAGGTGGTGCATGTCTTTGATCCCAGCACGAGGGAGGCAGAAGCGGCAGATTTCTGAGTTTAAGGCCAGCCTGGTCTAACGTAGTGGTTCCAGGAAAGCCAAAGCTACACAGAGAAATCCTGTCTTGAAAACTAAAAACAAAATAACAGCAACAATAAAAAAGAGAGTTCAAGGTTATATGGTTAAGTTCTAGGCTAGTCTCAGAAAAATAAATAACAAATAAGCACCTGCTTGTTGCTGATTTTCTTTATCCTAGAAATAAGGAAGTTGACCTGCTTCCCACTCAACCCTCAGGAATAGCAGGAGATAAAAGCAGACCACCTAAGCTTCTACTACAATAGAGGTATATTAACTAGCTGTTCACCTTAAGCTCCTTCCCATCTAATTGCTCTGCATATCCTCAGTAAAGGCCTTGCCCTTAAATGCCACAATACATGACAAGAACCATGATAATGTCTGGAAAAGATTGTCAGAGAAGAGCACCCAATTCTTAGAAAATTCTCACCATCAATCCCAAACGTAGTACTCAGGCTGGGCTATGAGAGAGGGAGAACAGCAAGATAAGGGGATAGACAGACATCTCTACCCATGCTTAGGTACCCACACACACTTCCACCATATTCTGAGCCACATTTATGATCTCCAGCTGCCATGGTTGAGAAGTGGATTTGAGCTCTATTCAAACTTCTCTTATTCTTTGGACAAGAATAGAACCCTCTTTACTGCTTCACAGTTGATGGGAGATGCCATTATGTATATATGTTTCTCATACTGGTTAATAATAAAGCACTGTTGGCCAATAGGAAAGGAAGATAGGAGGGACTAGGAGACAAGGAGGAAATTGGAAGTAGTAAGGAGGAGTCAAGATGGAGAGTCTGAAGAAAGCAGTATGCCGCCGGCTCCCTGGTAAGAGAAATACATAGATCAGCAGAAATGGGTTAATAATTAAGGCAGAGCTAGCCGATAAGAAAGAAGTAACAGGGCCAACAGCATTGTATCAAATAGAGTCTCTGAGTGTTAATTGGGGCTGGCGCAGCGGCAGGACAAGACCAGGCGGCGGCAGGCGGAAAAACCCATACTCCTTACACACAGTGACTGATTTTATTTGTTTGCCTAACAACTCCAAGAAAGAAAAAGGACATAATGCACTCAAATCCTCAGAGGGCAGATGGGGTGGCTCTCATGAGAGGGGTACACACCTGTGCTGTCTTCTCTCCTCACACTTCAGCCCCATGGATCTACGGGTGTCTGAGTAAAGGTCCTAGACATGTCCTCTGCTGCCCCTTACTTGTTACTCACAGGGACCCTCCGTACCTGCTTCTAGGCCACATCACCCTACTTAGGGACACAGAGCCATCACCTACCCGCAGGCTAGATAGCCAGTTGCCTTAGCATTCTCACTAATACTGTAGAGGACCCACCTTAGGTGAAGGATCCTTCACAACTCCACACCTGACAGCAAGGCTATCACAGGCTGTGTGCTGCTAGCTTTGTACAGCTTTGTGTGACTTACCTTGGAGGCTCCAGACATGGCCCAGGAGAGTCCCACCCGATCTTTAATAAATCTAATGGGGAAAGGGTTTCACCTGGGTCTTTTGTTTTTGAGACAGGGTTTCTCTGTGTAGCCCTGGCTGTCCTGGAACTTGCTCTGTAGATCAGGGTGGCCTCATTCACAGATCCTACCTTTGCCTCCCAAGTGCTGGGATTAAAGGCATGCACCACCACCGCCCAACTTCATCTGGGTCTTGAAGGCTACTTGAGGGCTCTCACCTCTAGTCATCTTCCCACCCTCCACCCTAAAGAGTGTTTACATGGCAAGGATTGTTCCTCAATCCCAAGAGAACTTCATGCCTCCAAACAATTAGTCCTCATTTCAAGGCACACTTGATAGTCACCTGAACTAACAGAGGGACACTCAGGGCAATACCCATGTAAGGGTGTTCTCACAAGGGCAGTATTTAGCAGATGCTGCAGCTGGTGCCCCAGGCTTAGAGATGATTGGGAGGCAGAGAGGCCAGGAAAAGGGCCGGGGGCCGTCTCTGAAACAGGAGTGACAGACGGGAGGCAGGACTTGGGGCACAGGTCAGCCCAGCAGAGTCTCCTAGGACTTCTCACCTACCTTACATTCCAGCAGAATCAGGTTCTGGATATGAGAAATGAGTGACTTTCTCAACCCCAACACCCACACCCTGAGATAGGGTCTCACATAGCTCTGAATGTTCTGGAACTCACTGTGTAGATCAGTCTGGCCTCCAACTCAGAGATCCATCAACCTCTGCCTCCTGAGTGTCAGATAAAGGAGTGCCTCTTTCCTGATGCCCAACTTGCTGTCAATAACAAGAGTTCTATGGCTCAGTAGTTCTGCACACAAACAGACCCTATATATTTAGTCCTCACCCTTACCATGTGGGCACTTGCTGAAGGATCTGATGTCCTAGCATACATACCATGCCCAGGGCTTAGGTGTGTAAGCCTCTGATGTGACCATGAATGAGACTGCAAGCACCACAGGACGGGATGGGGTACTGATCCTCCTTCACGATGAGGTCATGGATCTAAGGAAACCCTGGAGCCTCCAGTGTTCTGTCTCAAGTCACAAAACCTGTACATTACTCCCCACAGTAGCCCTGATCTTGTCTAGGTGTCCAGCCACAGATGTCAGCCCTGAAGGATGCTACTGGGTGGAGGGGCAGAGCCTGGTCACTGTAACAGGAAGGCCCTGGGGACAAATGTACCAGTATATCTACCTAAGCACCTAGGATCTGGGATGTTGCTCAGCAACAGGCACTTTGGCACGTAACTCCACATTAGGGCCTGCCCCAGGCAATGCAGTAGGACTGCTAATTCTTCCCACTGATCACAGGAGACAAAGGGAAGATGGTCTAGGAATGTCAGATCCAGAGCATGGCTCTTGGCCAAGCACTGGTCATCTGTTTCATCTGCCTATTTAGGCCTGAATGCTGATTCCAGCGGATCCTGAGCATTTCCATAGGTGCCTCTGGAAACCAGACACTCTGCTCACTCACCAACATGCTACTCTGGACACAGGTCACAGAATTACTTAGGTATGCTTCCTCCTAGCCATGCTGAGTCATCTGTGGTACACACCACCACCCTTGGACACACTGAACAGCAGCCTTGCTGCTGGTGAAAGATGGAGCCCTGCTTTCTCCTCCATCTCTTAACTTAGAACCAGATGATGGTGTAACAAGTTCCGGTGTTCAAGGAGGCAAACAGGGGGTGAGTAGACAGTGAAGTGTCATAGTTAGCTTCAGTTGTCTACTTGAGACACCTCCAAAGAGGGAACCTCGACTGAGGAATTGCTTGTGAGGACTGGCCTGTGGGCATATCTGTGGGGCATTTCTTAATTGCTCATTGATTTGGGGAAAGCAGCTTAGCCCAGTGTGTGAGCTGCCTTTTCTGGCCAGGTGGGCCTGGGCTATAAGAAAAGCAGCTGAAAAAGACAGTAAGCAGCGTTCCTTCACAGTCTCTACTTCTTCAGTTCCTGCCCTAACTTCCCAGGACTGTCACCTGTCAGATTTCTTGAGACAGGGTTTCTCTATGTAACAGCCCCGGCCAGTCTAGGAATTTGATGGCCTGGGATCGTGGTTCTCCTTCAGTCAGGGACCCCTTCCTTTCGCCTTCCTCCATTTCTTGTGGTTCTTTTCAGACGAGCCAACTGAAGGACACTGTGAGGTGGGCCCCAGCCAGCAGGGACAAGTCACAGCCACCACCTGAGTTAGAATAAAAAGGAAACACACTTCATGCCTTGGTGTGTTCGCATACTCTCCTGGTCAAGAGTAAAATTTGCCCCATCCAGACACTTCAGCTGGAATGGTGGTATCTTTATTTACCACCCAAAACTTACTTCTAACACCTAGGAATGGAATTAAATCCTTTTTCCCTCAAGACTCAAGCCGACCGCTGGCTCTGCCATTAAGATTGCTTTTGGGGCAGCTCACAAAGGGGAGATGTGAGTATGTGGACCTTTGGCCCTTCATGGGCTTTATGTCAACAGATAGGTTTTTAAAGGTGGGGCAGTCTACAGATCCAGAAGATATACCTTGTAGCTATGTCCATCTCGGGGTCTGATTTCTGGCCTGTGAATACTCAAACATCAACACCCAGATAGCACAGGGCCCTGGGCTCCAGACCCCTTTTTCTAGGCCCCATCAGGAACCCCACATTCATGTGGTACAACATAAGGAACAATCGCTTTGGATATAGGTTGGCCTCCCCAGACCATCTGGCCTTTACTCAGGAAACTCAACATCAAGCCTCAGAGGCGTCCAAAGCTCAGGAAGTGACTTTCCATTCTCCCCAGGTTTATTCAAAAGTCCCGCCCACATGCGACCCACCTCCGTTGCCCCTCATCCAGTCGGGTCTGACCGGTCTTCGCTCCCAGACAGTATTCAACTTGCGGGCACAGTCCCAAGGCGCGGTAGCCCTGTGGCCGACTCGGACCCTAACGTCTGCCCAGCCCGCTGTGCTCAAGTAATGTGCGTCTGAGGGTCACAAGTCTGTCCCAACCGCCAGCAATCGGCCTTTAACGTAAGCCGCCCCGCCACTCGCGTACGCTCGTTCCGTCCCCCAAGTCCTTGGGCACGCACATGCTGCCTTTAATCTGCAGGCGAGTTCCGCCTCCCAACTAGGCACATCCTGCAGGCGAGCCCCGCCCTCCGATCCATGCGCACGCGCATTACACTCCCGCGGCAGGAGGGCCCCGCCCCACCACGCCCCTGGTACATTAGCATCAGTCCCTAGCATCAACCGAGTCTGCAGCCATGGCGTCGGAGCGGCTGCCCAACAGACCGGCTTGTCTCCTAGTGGTCAGCGGCGCTTCCGAAGGTGAGGCGCGCAGGGTAGCTGTGTGGCGCAGTGGCCTGCCGTTCTGACTCCAGGTCAACGTTTGTACCTGCGGGGTTGGGATCCTGGGATCCTGCACCTGTTTCCCCGCGGCAGGCCTGTGTTGTCTGAGCCAGCAGACAGGGTGGCCAGCGACTGCAGAGATGACCCTGTTCCCAGGTCAGCTACAGGGGCTCGGTACTCTGTCCACCATTCCTGCCTCTCTGTCCCTGATCCAAGGCCTATCTTCACGCGCCTTCAGGAAGCGATCCTGAAAGGGGTTGCTCGTAAGAGCTGCAAGAGAAGGGGCTCGCACACAGAAGCGGGTCTGCTGGCCATGGGTTCCAACTGCTCAGTGTGTCTGGGACGCTGGGTAGATGATTACTTCACGGGTCTTTAAGGAGCAATCTGGCCCAAGATAGTCACGGAGGGGGTTTCCCTCTCGAACCAAACCGTATTTAACATCTCAAGCAAGCATGAGCCTGCAGGTACCGCGGGATTTTCGAGTGATGGGCCCCTCCCTGGGTTGCACAGAGAAATGTACCAGGTGGAGATGGGAGGGGCCTCAGGGTGCTGCTCTGCCCTGGAAGAGAGAATTGGGAGAAAGTACACCTGCTTCTAGGTAGGCCTTACTTGAGAGTTTCGGAATGAGGGATTGAGGAACTGGTAGAGATAATCTAGGATCGTTCACTGAAAATGTATGCAATCATAAAAGTAAAGAAGCTGAGCCTATTGGTGAGTATCTTTATTCCCAGCACTCAGGAGGCAGAGGCAGATAGATCTCTGGGAGTTTGAGGCCAGTCTGGAACTCATATAGCAAGTTCCAGGCCAGCAGGGCTACATAGTGAGATCCTGACTCTAAAACTAAGCCAAAATAAAACCCACAAACCAAAAGCCTAGTATAGGAGTTGGAGGCAGGAGGATAAAGAGGTTAATGGCTACATGAAATGCTGTCTCAAAAAAGAAAAGGCCGGTGATGGTGGCCCACAGCTTTCGTCCCAGCACCCAGGAGTCAGGCAGGTGGATATTTGTGAGTTTGAGGCCAGAGCTAGTTCCATGGCAATCAGGGCTACACAGAAAAACTTTTGTCTCAGAAAGAAAAAAAAAAAAAAAAAAAAAAAAAAGCGTTTGAGAAGGATAGAGAGAGAGAGACTAATGAAGCCAAAGGCTTGTGCCCTTAGGTTAAACCAGCACAGACCACTGTACCCACCTCAGACCACTGAGGTGGTGTGAGTTGTGAGTCTCTGCTCCCTAGCCGAGGGGAGGCTAGACTGTACCCATAAATCATCTTTAATCTTGTATTTTTGAGACAGAGTTTTTGGTGTGTGTGTGTGTGTGTGTGTGTGTGTGTGTGTGTGTGTATGGCTGTGCATTGTGGATGCCTTGGAACTCATTCTGTAGACTAGGCTGGCCCCCCAACTCACCCGGGGTCTGGAGTCAAATGAGCTAGGCAAGCTTTGTTCCTTTTTGAAGTATTCTTGATGGGCAGAAGAGTGAGAATAGCATTGTGGGGGCGGAATCTTACACTCTTAGGAAAGTGGGACCCTGTAGGTGTCTTGGGTGTGGGCAGTGCCCCAAACACCATGCTGTCCTGCTGCCTTTACTAATATGACATGTCCACTATTGCCCTCCCCAGGCCATGGGGACCTTGGATACTGGTGAGTCTGTAGGGGATAACCCAAATGTTTGCCTTTGGGATGCAGCCAAGGGTATAGGGCTGTTGGTAGACAGTTAAGGTGGGCTGGGGGCCTGAAAGTAGAGGTATTAGGTCAAGCAGAGAGCGTGTTGTGGGAGGCTGCAGCACCTGCAGGTCTTTCTGGGGCCAGAGGCCAAAATTGGCGGAGTAATAGACCTGCTGTGGACATCTCAGTTACATATTTCTGAACCTGTCCCCAGGGTGTAGACGCTGGGGTGGGTGAAATGGACTGCTCCTAAGGCTGCTTCTGGGACCAGGATAGTCCCCAGGAGCACTGAGGCAGTCTCCAAGGAATAGGGACTGTCATGCCCTTGCCTTTTGAAACCCTCTCTTGCAGGCGTATCAGCCCAGTCCTTCTTCCATTGTTTCACACTGGCCAGTGCTGCTTTCAACCTACAGGTGGCCACCCCTGGGGTGAGTACAGTCACCCTTCTCCAGGGAACCCCTGAGAGCCTCTCCTTTTTTGGGGGGTGAGGCTAGGAGAGTATAGAGAGCCCACTATACCTGATAGGACCAGGACGGAGCTACACGCAAACTTGGTGGGATCCTTAAGTCATGGTTCCACCTCGCTGGCCTGTGACTGCCTGAGTTAAGGGAGCTCTTTTCGTTGTGACCTGCACTTTTGCAGGTCTGTAAGTGAAAGATAAGACTTGGTCCTAGCATGCAGGTCCAGCACAGATCCTCCTAACAGGAGAGTGTGATGATACCTTGGTTTTACAAATAAAGCTTGTCTGAAGATCAGAGGATGGAGCTTGCCAGTAGCTAACCATAGAGGCCAGGAGGTCTGTACAGACAGACAGGAAGGGAGATGGGCTGGGTGGAAATAGAAAGGAAGATGGGCTGGGTGGAAATAGAAAGGAAGATGGCTGGGTAGAAACAGGAAGTGAGTCGGCTGGGCGGAGACATTACAGGAGAGATTCTTGATTCTGGCATTGTGATCTTGTGAACATCAGATATAAATGGGTCACAGCAATTGTGTGTTGTGTATTTGTATGTTTTGAAGTCACAAGGTGGGAGGGGCAGTTGTTGCTACTTTATAATCAGGAGAGTGGGCCCCATGGGTGTAGTGATCCTGTGGTAAGACCTTAGCATTTTGTTGTACTGGGCTCCTGTACACTGGTGGTTTGGTTCTCTAGGACTGCCTTGTATTTGATTTCTTTCTCTGGCCACTAGAGGCTCCCTGCCTGACCAGCCAGTGAAAGGGACTGAGTGGGCATTTGGGCCCCAAGGGATGTTTTGAAATCTGATTTTCTAAGTTCTCTGTCCAAATGTGGGGGAAGAAGCCACTACTGACCCTTCACCTAGGCTCTGCTTCTACAGGGAAAGGCCATGGACTTTGTGGATGTGACTGAGAACAATGCACGTTGGGTACAGGACTTCCGCCTCAAGGCTTATGCCAGCCCTGCTAAGCTTGAGTCCATAGACGGTAGGTTGGGAAAGTGACAAGTGGGAACTTCTAGCTAGTGGGTCCCTGTGAGGGCCTCCGTGTCTGGTCATACCCTTATTTTGACCTGTGGCTTCCCCCTAGGTGCCAGGTACCATGCGCTCCTGATTCCCAGCTGTCCTGGTGCCCTGACTGACCTTGCCAGCAGTGGGTCCCTGGCTCGGATACTGCAGCACTTCCGCTCAGAGAGCAGTGAGTGACAAAAAACTGGTGAACAGGCTAGCAGGAAGATGCCTGGGTGGGGAGTAGGAGGGAATGACCAAAACAGTGGGTGTCAAGGAACTAGAGGCTAGGTTAGGAAGGCAGATATGGAGTGGATATTGAGTACAGAGTTTAGGATTCAGGGCCGGGCATGCCTGGTGATTGCATTAGCCCATCAGATGGGACTGGAGAGCTGCAGTGGCTCTGACCTGCACAAAGATAAGTTTGCTCTGTGTCCATGTGCACAAGAGTGATCTCACTAAACATAATGTGTGTGCTATTAGTCTCTGCACCATGAGCCTCTGAAGACCAAGACAGGGCTGATGACCATGGCCTCTTAGCCCTTTCCATGGTAGGTTAATCAGGATGCTACCTGGATTCCTGGTGGGAATTGGCAACATCTATTGTGATAAGCACATCTGTAGACTAGGGCAGGATGCTCATCAGAGACCAGAATGCAGACAGGCTCCACGAAGTGTCCTTTGTTGGTGAGAGCTGGCCTTCTGGGCTGAGACAAGAAGCAATTGTTTCCAGCTACCTCAGCCATGGGAATACACTGGCCATTAAGTTGCCTTTGGGGAAGAGCCAGGGTTGCCCCATTGCATTGCAAAGCAGGATATCCCCTGGGAAACCACCCCCAGATGCACAGTGGCTTCTCTGCAGTTTGAAGCAAGCAGAACTCCATACTGGGAGTTCTGTGTGTCTGCATGTGTCTTAAAACTGAGGCAGCGTCGGCTCTAAGTAAACTCTAGTCTTGAAGCATCCACCTTGTGGGAGGGGACACTTGGAGGGGACCCTACCCATCCAGGGCCTCAGAGTACCTTGCTACTTTTAGAACCCATTTGTGCCATTGGCCATGGTGTTGCTGCCCTGTGCTGTGCTACCAATGAAGACAGGTCCTGGGTGTTCCAAGGCTACAGTCTGACAGGGGTGAGTGTTTTCATGGACAAGCCAATGACCTGTTCCATCCTATCTTCTTACCCCTACTTGAACCAGGAAGAGATTCCTACAGGCACTGTGACCTGCCATCCCCATACTGCTAAAGCAGTTCTCCCCTTGCCCATGTGATGTGTGGCCAGGCAGAGCCTGGGACCCTCTGGGGTGAGCCTCAGCCCTTCATATGAACATCATGAAACCCACAAAGGGACTCCTTCCAGAGAATACCAGTCCATCTCATTTTGGTCACACCCATGCCTTGACGCTGGGGGAGCAATGCACATTGAGCAATAGTGGTTTAGTCTTCAAAAGATGACTGAGTTTTGCCTTTTCCCGTCTTCCCCTTGTGGTAGCTGAGGCTCTTGCTTTGATTTGACCTGCCTGATCCCTTGGGTTGGTCTTGGGGACAGTAGGGTACTGGGCAGGGTAGAGCCACTAGCTGGTCTGACTCAGGACCTGCCTTTTCTTTCAGCCTTCTGTGTACGAGCTCATCAGAGCGCCTGACTTTGCCCGCCTGCCGCTTGTTGTTGAGGACTTTGTGAAGGACTCTGGTGCTGGCTTCAGTGGTGAGCGCAAGTTGGTGCCCTACACTTAGATTTGTGGGACTATATGCTGTGTCTTGGGTTGGTGTCTTAGGTCCTGCATATACCCCTGTGGCAAATGGTTCACCTAGACAGGCTTTCCTCAGTGGGTGGGAGTGGGACTAGGTCCAGGCCTTGTGGGCCTAAGGCTTGTGCTTTCTGTCTTAGCCAGTGAGCCCGACGCTGTACATGTGGTGCTGGACCGCCACCTGGTCACTGGCCAGAATGCAAACTCTACTGTTCCTGCTGTCCAGAACCTGCTCTTCCTCTGTGGCAGCCGGTAAGGCTCCTGTGAAGGGGTTTGGGTGGGTTCTGCTTTGTGACTGGCTCCCTCTGCTGGACAGTTTTGTCCGTGATTCCCTGCCTGCTGGTGCTGAGTCTGGACTCTGTGTTCATCCTATAGGAAGTGACTTGGATGCTGTCCCTGATCCTGGTGGCCTAGAGACAACAGCTGAACTCACTGTGGCTTCTTCTGTTGGTCCTTACCTGATGGGGCCCTCAGGCCTCCCTCTGGACCTTGTGGAATGCTGGAGGCCTCCAGGAGTTAAGACTTGTAGAGTATCAGTTCTAATGCAGACTGAACCTCCTCCCTCCATTCCCAGCACATAGTGTGGAACATCTGGACTGGTCAGGCAGTTCCTGAGAACTGCAAATTGAACATTGCAAGAATTGTCCATGGGAGATAGTCAGCTGTGTGGTCTTAGGATGGGGTGTTGCTCTTCTATGGCCCTTTGGCTATTCCCATCTCTTTAGCTGTGGGGACTATGGGGAACTATGGGGAAGGGACTGACGATTGGTGCTTGCTCTGAATTCATCTTGCCAAAGGCCTAAGCAGGCAGTAGTCTTGCTGAAGAAGTCCGCCCTTGCTTGGCCTGTGGTTTTTAATGCAATAGAGGCCCCAGCTCAACCTAACATCGTCCTGAGCCCTTGGAATAGACATAGTGATGTTACCCTGCCCCATATGGCATGGAAAAATATTAGTGTCACAATTTGATATCCTTAAGACTGCTGTTACCTCAGTCTGTCCAATGGTCTCTGGCTTACAGAAGCCTCAGCCCAGGTATTTATTCCATCTACTCCTCCTAGAAGGAATGGCCACAGATAGGCTTGGGCTATATGGAGTAAGAATAGCCATGACTCCCAGGTCTGATATGTCTCCAGGACCTGATAAGGCTATGTGGACATGCTTGTTTGCTGTCAATCCTAGGGCACCTGGCCTGGCCTGGAGCCTCCAGTGAGTAGCCTTCTAGCCCTAGAATAGAACCTTCCACGTAACTTGGACCTCTGAATGCCTTTTGGCGGTTAATAACCTTTAATGAGGAAAGTCTAGAACCAAGTGGAAGAAAGATGCACGAGAGCCCACCTGTCCCTGGATTCCTCCCTGGCCTTGCACTGCCCCCATCTGCCATGTACACTATGACTATGTAATGATAGATACTCCTGGACAAAACCTGTGCCTTAGGCTTGGCTGGTTCAGGCACAGGTTAGGTGGTCTGTAAACAAATATATTTCATACACGTCTTGAAGCTTCAAGTCCGAGGTTATAGTGTGGCAGGTATGCTTGTAAGGGCTTCCTGGCTCCGACCTCTTTACTTTGTACCTGGTGGGAAGGGTTAGGAGCTCTCTGGAACCTTTTCAGAGGTCACCAATTGCTTCATGAAGCCAAAGTCCCACTTAACACCATCACCTCAAAGATGAGGTTTAGCATGAATTAGGGTACAGCTTCAGACACTCGGGAGGTGACACCAAGCTGATGGTGTTTGAAAGTTTGTAATTGGCTGGCTCTACACGAGCTTCATGTTCTGTCTCTCTTTGTTTTTTTGTTTTTGGTTTTTCGAGACAGGGTTTGGAAACTGTCCTAGAACCTGCTCTGTAGACCAGGCTGGTCTGGAATTCAGAGCTCCATCTGCCTCTGCCTATTGATTGCTGGGATTGCAGGCCTGTACCACCAGTGCCTGAAATCTCTCTCTCTAAGACAGGGTTTCTCTGTGTAGCCCTAGCTGTCCTCAACTCAGCCTCTGCTGGGATTAAAGGCATGTCACCTCTGCCTCTATTCTATACTGAGGCATCACATAGCTGTAACAGGTGAGGTGGACTTTGATTGTGTCAGGCCTCTGCTCTAAGGGTCTTCCCACTGCTCAGTCCTAGGTGGAGAAGGGGACAGCAGGCTGGAGAAGAGAGAATGAACAAAACCCTGGCAAAGTGGCAGCTAAGCTCAGGGTATGTTCACACATTTATAATTACTCAAGAGAAATGAAACCTTGAGGCCTAGAATTAAAGGTGTTTGCCACTGCACCCAGCTAGTGGTTTCTTTACAATGGATATCATCAGTTCAGTCAAGAATTTGGCCATAAATTCTGATACAAAGTTGTTTGTGGTGACATACACCTTTAATACCAGCAGAGACAGCCTGGTCTACATACTAAGTTACAAGACAACAAGGCTATGTACAGAGACCCTGTCTCAAAAAAACATGAAGAATAAAAAGAGGTTCACATAGCATACATAATGCCTGGCCAGTTTCCCTGGAGTCCCCAGGTTGGAAAGACTCAAAATCCTGATAGCCTTTCAGGACACTCTATTGCTAGCTCAAAGGGTGAAGGTTGGGCACAAGGCTCTGCCTATATGTGGAGCATGCCAGCCTCAAGCAGCATTTGCTCCCATAGGCTCTCATCCTCCCTGGAAGTGGTAGAGTATCTGTGGGTCTTCATCAGGAAGTGTGAACCTAGCAGTGATAGGTTGCAGAAGCTGTTCTCCACTTAACCATCCAGGATGGGGCTAGACTGCCCAGACAGGTACTTAGCCCTAGAGCCACTAGTGGAATTTTGGAGAAATGAGCCTGGGAAGTTGCTCTCTGATGCCCCTGAGTAGGAATCCATGGGGTCTTTTTCTTTTTTCCTAAAACACTGATCAGGAAGTCAACCAGCCTGCTGTGTGTCTGTCTTTCTTTAAAAAAAAAAAAAAAAAAAAAAAATGTTTATTTTAATTTCATGTGCATTTGTATTTTTGCCTCCATGTATGTCTGTATTGAGGGTAACTCCTAGAACTGGAGTTACACTTTTAAAGATGGTTTCTATGTAAACCCAGAACTCAGTACGTAGATCAGGTTGTCTTCAGATGTGGACAATCTGGTTACTGCTCTACAGGTACCGGGGTTATAGGCATGTGCTCATGCCCTTTCAAAGTTGGTGTCATATACTGTGCTGTCCCCATAAGGTGGTGCCACTGCCCTCTAGAACCTGGCTACTACACCAAGCAGGGCAGAGCAGCTAGGTGGGAGAAATAAACTGCTGGCCTTTCCTCTCTTGGGCCACGGGCAGGCCTGGCTCTGGGGCACTATGTTCAGCAGTTGTCCCACCCCCAGCAGAGCCCACCATTTGTCTTTCAAACTGCTAGTGTACCCTATAAAACTAGGCAGGGGACAGGGACACCAGGTACAGAGGGAGTTACTGGATAGTCTTACCACCAGAAATCAAAGACCACTGCCATCTAGTGTCCGAGTGGTGGTCCAGTGAGGCTTTAGAAGATGAGGGTGAGGGCCACAATTACCTGGGTCATGCTGATAGTCTGGGGTTCATAGCCCAGTCTCAACCAAAGTCACAGCTAATACTGGGGGCAACTGGCACTTAGGTAGATGGTGACAAAGACGGTGAAATGAAGCAACATAGGAAAAGCAGCTGCTTTAATTAGACAAAATTTCACATAAAATCAGAAACCTACGATTCATCCCTTCTCCAATCACTAAAAAAATGCAAGATTCGTCACAAGCCATGTGCAATTAGGAGCCAGCTCAAAGGCAGTGCAGGTCTGGGGTCCAGCCTCAGGTGCTGTGCTACTTTCCATTCTCAGCGCTGAACATTCGTTCCTGGAAATGACCAGAGGTAGTGTCATGTCAGTCCCCTATTTTGCCAGCCCCTCACTGCCTGGAAGGCCCCACACAAGACCCACCAAAGTCCCAGTATGGCTTCAGAAACTAGTTGGGACCCATGCCCTACCACCACCACATATATTTATATCTACATACACATCATCACTGCCTGGCCCTAGTCTTGTTTCTTGAGATAGTTTCTCTCTCTCTCTCAAGTGCTTGGGCTAAAGATGTGTACTACCATTCCTGGCCCAGGCTATTGAATTTGTGATCCTCTTGCCTCATTTTCCAGAATGATGGAACTAGAGGTATGGGCTACCATGCCAGGTTCCTTCAATAAGTTTCAACTCTGTACCAACTTGGCCCCTGAATGAAGGAGAAAAGGCCCAAATGCTGCCCACACAAAAACTCACCGTGAGCATCCGCTCTAACTTTATAGCATCAGCAGCAAACTTTCGGATCCCGTCTGAGAGCTTCTCCACAGCCATTTGGTCCTCATTGTGCAGCCAACGGAAGGCCTTCTCGTCCAGATGTATCTTCTCCAAGTCACTGGTCTGGGCTGGGGGATACCACAGCTCTCCATGCCTGCCTTACCCTTCGACTCATAATTGTCCCTCAGCCTAGGCTGAGTTTCTCCCATCTGGGTCAGGCCTTAGCTCCGCCCACACAGAGGTCCTTATAGGGCCCCTTGGCCTTACCCGCTTTGACGGAAAGCACAGGTGCCAGCTTGGTGTTATCCTTTAGCAGCTCCCCCAGGAGCTTGGGTGAGATGGTGAGGAAATCGCAGCCTGCCAGCGCTTTAATCTCACCAGTGTTACGGAAGGAGGCGCCCATGACAATGGTTTTGTAGCCAAACTTCTTGTAGTAGTTGTAGATTTTGGTGACACTCTTTACCCCTGGAGGAAATATAGGCATGTTCTAGGATGGCCCCAGAAGTGCCCTGAGCCCTGCTTGTCAACACTGCAGATTCCCTGCCCCGTGATCTTAAAGATAGCTCACCAGGGTCCTCTTGGGGTTCATAGGACTTCTTGTCTGTGTTTGCCACATGCCAGTCAAGGATGCGCCCCACAAAGGGAGAGATGAGTGTCACACCTGCCTCAGCACAGGCCACAGCCTGGGCGAAGGAGAAAAGTAGCGTCATGTTGCAATGGATGCCATGCTGCTCCTCCAGCTCCCTGTGGACAAGATGGGCAGGGGTGTTGCTAAGTAAGTGCTCTGGCACCTGTTAAAAATAAGCTTGAGACTCAGCAGGGTGAGTCTGCACAAGGACTGACCAGGACTTCCTCCATCATAGCCACATTGCATATAAAGGCCGAGTGTCCACATCTGCGCCAACACTACAACCAGAGTCCCTCCCCTCATCAGAGCTCTCTGGGTTCTACTCCTAGGCTAGCAGCAGTGGGTCATTACCAAGGGTGATTAGGACCTTGTTCTTCCTGGAGCTACACTGCAGCAAGCCCAGTCTCTCTCCTGAGAAGCCCCTTGGCCCAATACTAATTCCTGGGAAGCACTCTCCTCCACTACCATGTGGTTGAGGCCAAGAGCCAAGTCTACGCCTAGGCTACTTCAGCCACAGTTCCCTCCCCAGGGGCAAGCTTCAGAGGTGCCTCCACCACATAGCTACTTGTGTGTCCAAGCACAAGTGTAGTTTATACCACACTGGCTCCGCCAAAGGGGAGATAGGCTCCTCCTGACTATGTGACCCAGTAAGCCTGCTTCTTTGTATCTGCCCACAAGAAAGGAAAACCCAGGTCCATAACAAGATATATATGTGTTCATGCCTTTATTCTTAACAGCCCCAAAGTGGTAACAGACCCCAATGCCCAAGAGACAAATGCAAAGACACAATCCACCACCAATTAAGTCGAGTCAGGAAACAATGCAGACACTAGAACATGCTGAATGAGTCAGACACAACAGTTCACATATGATCTGCATCTGCTTATATGAGATGTCCAGAACAGGCAAATCCAGAGAAGAAAAACCAGTGGTTCTAGGTGGAAAAAAAGGAAATATGGACAGAAAGAACTCTCTGCTGCCCAGGTCTTAGAATGGCCAGGACTGACTACTTTAGAGGAGGCATCATAGAATAGAGTGACTGTTTTTACCGTTTTGCATTCTTTTCCACTTAGAGCATGCTATTTATATGACAATTAGTTTCTTTAAAATGTATGTAAGTTTTGGCCTCACTGTCCCAGAGGAGATTTATAAGACAAAACCTGGAAGTGTAAGAAACGCATTCCTGGGCCAGGTGTTGGTGGAGCACACCTTTAGTTCCAGCACTCAGGAGGCAGAGTCAGGCAGATCTCTGTGAGTTCAAGGCCAGCTTGGTCTTCAAAGAGAGTTCCAGGACAGTCTCCAAACTGGCACTATTTGAGCTGACGCTGGAGCAAAGAGGGCAGATGTGTCTCAAGAGCCCCCAACTTCAGACCCCCAGAAACTGGAGCCTGCTGCTCAGGAATAGAATCAGAAGCTTCCTCCATGTAGGGAATACTTACTTTCCAGCCTGAATTCCCTCCCAGGTTGAGGACAACTTGATGAGAATTCTGTCCTTGCTGATCCCAGCTTCTTTGTAAAGCTCAATGAGGCGCCTGGCTCTGGCTACCATTGCATCCTTATCAAAGGAAAGCCTATAAAAGCAATTATGCCAGGTACTCAGATCATACAGGACATCACCAAGGGAGCATGTCAGAAACAGGGTATTCTGTAATGAGCAGCTCACTGGGCAAACTCTTCCCACTCCCTACTCTAGACACAGAGCAACTTGAAATACAATTTCAGAAGCAGGCCTGGTGGTCAAACCTTGTAACCAGCACTCAGGAGACAAACAGGAATTAGGAGTTCAAGGTCAACCTGTGCTACAAGTGACACTGCCTGGAAAGACAGGCTCAGTGGCTAAGAGCACCTGATTTTGCAGAGGACCCAGTTTTAGTTCCTAGCACCAATATAGCAGCTCAGAAGCTTGTTTAACTTCAGTTCCAGAGGATCTGATACCATCTTCTGGCCTCCACAGGCACACATGTAGCATACATACAAACAAGCAAAACACTCATACACATAAAATAAAAATAAATCTTTGAAGAGGAGACTTTGTCTTAAAAATAAATAAAAAGCCAAACCAAACAGAAAAAAGGGAGTCAGAGTTGTGCTGAGTTGGTAGAACACTTGTTTATCATGCACAAAGCCTAAGTCACATACACTAAGTGGTGGTGTACTCTTACAATCCCAGCAGAGGAAAGTGCAGGACCACATAAGGTCAAGGTCATTATCAGCTACATAGTAAGTTTGAGGTCAGCTGGGGCTACATGACACCCTGTCTCTAAATAACATTAAAAAAGAAAAAAAAAAAAAAAAAAAACCCACAGAAACTTTAAAATAAAAGTAAAAACAAAAACTAAAATTAAATAAAACCTTACAAATTTTTGTTGTTTTTTTGAGACAGGGTTTCTTTGTG